TTTTTTTTTGAGACAGAGTCTCAAGCTTTCGCCTTGGGTAGTGTGCCATAGCGTCATAGCTCACAGCAACCTCCAGCTCTTGGGCTCAAGTGATCCTCTTGCCTCAGTTTTTCTATTTTTAGTAGAGACGGGCTCTAACTTTTTGTTTTGGCTGGTCTCCCAACTTGTGAGCTCAAGTATCCACCCACCTCAGCCTCCCAGAGTGCTAGGATTACAGGCGTGTGCCACTGCACCCAGCCATAAGATGATCTTGAACTTTCTTCCAGCTCTAATACTTACAATTGCAAGTATTTTATCTTTCTGGTAATTACTTATCGCCCAGGTAATCACGTCATTGTAATATAAGTATATAAAAGGTTTTCCCGGGGGCAGCTCCTGTAGCTCAGTGAGTATGGCGCCATCCCCATACACCAAGGGTGGCAGGTTCAAACCTGCCCCTGCCAAACTGCAACAAAAAATAGCTGGGCTTTGTGGCAGGTGCCTATAGTCCCAGCAACTCAGGAGGCTGAGGCAAGAGAATCACCTAAGCCCAAGAGCTAGAGGTTGCTGTGAGTAGTGTGACCCCACGGCACTCTACCCAGGGAGACAAAGTGAGACTCTGTCTCTAAAAATAAATAAATAAGAAAAAATAAAATGTTTTCCCACCACTTTCTCCACATTTGTAAGTAATCTGCATTGTTCATGACTATTTAAAATTTCATTGAGGCCGGGCATGGTGGGTCACACCTGTAATCCTAGCACCTTAGGGGGCCGAGGTGGGTGGATTGCCTGAGCTCACGGGTTGGAGATCAGCCTAAGCCAGAGTGAGACCTCATCTCAAAAAATTGCCAGGCATTGTGGCCAACAAGTGTAATCCTAGCTACTTGGGAGGCTGAGGCAAGAGAATCACTTGAGCCCAAGAGTTTGAGGTTGCTATGAGTTATGATGCCACGGCACTCACAGCTTGAAACTCTGTCTCAAAAGAAAAAAAAGATTTCATTGAATCTTTCACATTTAATGTTCAGCCCAATTTCAGAGTTTTCCTGCAAACAATTCGCAGGCACTTTTTCTTTTTTAATAATGTATGATAGAGGACATTCATTATCATAGATGGTGCTGTTATAAATGTCTAATTTAAGTGGAGTTTTCCTTCCATTATATTTTCTTAAGCTTGTTTGGTAGCATTCATACTATGAGTAAAGGCCACTTGCTGCCAAGTACTGATTGTGCCAGGTACAGAGGACATAGTCCCATATAAGATAGAGCAGTTCTCTGCACTCGTGAAATCATACATAGAAACATGCATTCATTTTCACATAAAACATTTCTCATTTTTCTGTGGGGAGTGTGCTCCACTGCTCAGCTTCTTTTCCTAGACACCCTTTTGTAACTTCAAGTCTTCATCCCTTGGAATGATGAACTGAGAAGTCTCAAAGTAAAGAATAAAATAGAAAAAGAATTAAGTACCCTAAGTACTGGTGGTTTGGGAGCCTCACCTGTAATGAAGAGGATCCACTCCTTCCCTTCATATGTAGACAGCAGTCTCTCCCACTGGGCTTGCCAAAAGTAGCCAGAAGCACCCCAAAATCTCTGAAGATGCCTTGGAAGAAAAACCAATCATGTTCGTGGGTGAAGACTAGCTCTTTACTCCTTACTCTGCCCCCGGGCACCACCACACTGCTCCCAGATTCTGAATCAAAGTTGAACAGAGCAGACTTACCATGTGACTGAGTTCCAAAAGGCCACAAACAAAAGAAGGCCAGAGCCCAGGATTAAAACGGTCCTCCTCATGGAGCCCCAGATGTGTCCCTCCTGCAGGATGATAGGAAAGGGTTAGATTTAGCCAGCCTCCTGCCCAGCTCACTGTGGAGGCTCTGAAGTGCTAGCCAGCCAAAAGTACCACCTGCTGACCTTTTCCCAGCCTCTGTGGGAGGCCCGTCTTTATAAAGAGTTCATTGGTGTGTTTATAGAGATTAGAGATCAAGGTTACTTCTAATAGTTGTGGGATTTCATCACCAGTCCTCTTGGCAAATAGAGATACCCACTATCTGCATATTGTAATCACCCAGGAGATTTTATGAAGTCCCAATGTCTAGAATCCTCTCCAACCTGTTATGTGACACTGTGGATATAGCTCCAATGGGCAGGCAAGGTTGAGACAGCCATCATAGAAGGAGCTACAGAGTCTGTGATAAGGAAGTCCTTTCCCAGCCATGAGGACTTTACTGTGTTCAAGTGTCAGGCCTATTTTCCCAACACTACCGTCTTGCCCTTAGGGGAGTGAATTGGACACGTGTTCTGTCTTTTTTTTTTTCTTGAGATAGAGTTTTACTATGTCACCCTTGGCAGAGTGCCATGACATCACAGCTCACAACAACCTCAAACTCTTGGGCTCAAGCAATTCTCTTGCCTCAGCCTCCCACGTAGCTGGGACCACAGGAGCCCACTACAATGCCCGGCTATTTTTTTGGTTGCAGTTGTTATTGTTGTTTGGCAGGCCTGGGCTGGATTCAAACCCGCCAGCTCCAGTGCATGTGGCTGGTGCCCTAGCTGCTGAGCTACAGGCACCAAGCCTACATGTTCCGTCTTTTAATAATTCCTCTGTCTTCCAGCAAGAGTTTTGTAGGCTGCGAGCTAGACAAGATGACTCGCCATCCCAGAAGTAAAGAAGAGACTGCTGGCAATCATTGAGAAGTCCTTATATGTTTACCCCTCCAAATCATTGCAAGCTCCATGGTCAAACAACCAAGTCTCTGCTTTAGAGGGAAACAAGATGGCAAGTGTATCACCAGTTTCCACTGTACTATGGACACTCATGTTCTATGTTTCTAGGCCCAGAATTTCTTTTGTAGGAAAGAACTAGAGGCAGTGTGTGCCTGGGGCTCACCTGCCCCTGCACAGGGTCCTCAGGGGTGTGAGGTCAGGGAAGACTATCTAACAAGATGCTATGTTCTAATCCAGACTTTCAAGATCTGAAGGAATGGATTGTTTTGATCAACACATTCTTAGCAATCTGAATCTTCATTGAATCATTTCTTCTCAGTATTTTCAGACCAACAAGTCATTTAGATGTTTTTCTTTCTTTTTTTTTTTAGAGACAGGGTCTCACTTTGTTGTCCTTAGTAGAGGGCCATGGCATCACAGCTCATAGCAACTTCCAGCTCTTGGGCTTAGGTGATTCTCTTGCCTCAGCCTCTTAAGTAGCTGGGACTACAGGCTTCCGCCACAATGCCCGTCTGAATTTTTGTTGCAGTTTGGCCGGGACTGGCTTTGAACCCACCACCCTTGGTCTATGGGGCCAGCGCCCTACTCACTGAGCCACAGGCGCCGCCTCATTTAGACATTTTTCTTTCTTTCTTTTTTTAAGGAAAATGAGTTATTTATTGTAATAATACAATTGGAAATACCATAGTTCAAAACAACAACTAAGCCATAAAGATATTGAACTGAACACAGGAAGTCGGAAGCCACTTGAAAATAGCCCACGTGCTTACTGAGTAGTTGTGTAGTGACTCTTATTTCTGCTTTTCTGTCTTGGCTGGTATCCTCTGCTTGCTCATGGCCAGACATAGTTTCCCCACACTCACCTCCAGATCACTCAGTTCTTATTCCCACAACATTCTGACTCACTCAGTCTTACCTCATTTAAACATTACCCAGAATGAGAATCTGATTGTCTCGGTTAAGCTTTATATTGGTCCAACTGCGACAGTGTCCTCATGTAACCTACCAGGCTGATTCCTATAATTCCTTATAAAGAATTATTATAAGAATTATTCACGGCTCGGCGCCTATAGCTCAACCGGCTAAGGCGCCAGCCATGTACACCTAAGGTGGCGGGTTCGAATCCCCAGCCCGGACCCGCCAAACAACAATGATGGCTGCAACCAAAAAATAGCCGGGCGCTGTGGCAGGCGCCTGTGGTCCCAGCTACTTGGGAGGCGGAGGCAGGAGACTCGCTTGAGCCCAGAAGTTGGAGGTTGCTGTGAGCTGTAATGCCACGGCACTCTACCCAGGGGGACAGCTTGAGGCTCTGTCTCAAAAAAAAAAAAAAAAAAAAAGAATTATTCACATTTTATAAATGATGGGGAAAAAGCTGAGGGAGATAAAGAAAGCATTTTAATATCACAACTATATGAAGGACTAGAGCCAAATTTTGAACCGAGGATATTCTTATTCTAATTCCAGTGATCTCACCACAAAACTTTCATAGTTGAGAAAATAAATCTCCAAGTCTAAAATGACCCTTTCTAATGTTTAAATTAATTGAATCATTGATCCATCTTTAATCAACAAACCAATACTTACATAAATTGACTTAGTTCCTGGGGACCAAAACTTGCTGCCCCGCTCAAAACTTGATACTGGGCGGTGCCTGTGGCTCAAAGGAGTACAGTGCTGGCCCCATATGCCAGAGGTGGCAGGTTCAAACCCAGCCCTGGCCAAAAACTGCAAAAAAAAAAAAAACTTGATACTGATTGGGTATCAGCCTCACACTGTAATAACCTGTACTAGGAACTTCAAATACAAATTATGGGCCTGCCTCATATCTCTGGCTTCATTTAGACATTTTTCATGGCTAGGAAAGGTTTTGAAGGGCTAGTGCTCAGCAAGCTCCTGAGCCCTGGAAATCAGTCTCTCTCTCTCCTCTCCCTATCCCAGATCTCCTTCCCTCTCAGTCTGTCCCTTTCCCCTTCCCTCTTTCTTCTCTCTGGCTGGAGTGGCCAGACCAGTCTGAGGAATCTGTTCTTTTATATGGGCCATTCAAGTGTCACCCTGACTTTGCTGACAGGTTACCGTGGGCTTTTTCCAATTATTCCTGTTTTTAGGATTCTGAGGCTTTTCAGGAACTTCTCTAGACTCACCGAGAATTTTCCATCTTCTGAGTTAAAGAAAACCAAATTAAATTGAACTAAAACCTTAATTTCACATACAGGATTAGATGATTTTTCAGGGATGGTGGATTTTATTTTTTTTTTTTGAGATAGAGCTTCAAGCTGTCCCCCTGGGTAGAGTGCCATGGCATCACAGCTCACAGCAACCTCCAACTCCTGAGCTCAAGCAAGTCTCCTGCTTCTGCCTCCCAAGTACTGGGACCACAGGCGCTGGCCACAACGTCTGGCTATTTTTGGTTGCAGCCATCATTGTTGTTTGGCAGGCCTGGGTTGGATTCGAACCTGCCACCTTAGGTGTATGTGGCTGGCGCCTTAGCTGCTTGAGCCATAGATGCCAAGCCTAGGGATGGTGGATTTTTAATCTCTCCAGCAACCCAGATAAAGGGAATATAAACAGGACACAGGTCCCCTGTGAGGCAATACCGTGTTTCCCCGAAAAGAAGACACTGTCTTATATTTATTTTTTCTCAAGAAGACACACTAGGGCTTATTTTTAGGGGATGTCTTATTTTTATTAAGTATACAATAATTTACATTTATTCAAATAACAGTTAAGTCATCTTCTTCTGGAACCTGACAGGGGGAGCCCACCTTGTTGGTGGGGCTGGCGCTAGTGATATGTGAACTCCTTTCCCCTAGCCATTCGGACATGTGCAATAGGATGCCTGCAACCGTGGTTACCACATGTGCACCTGCGCAAGTGCAAATGGCTTGGCTAGGAGAAAGGATCTGTAGCAGATAAAAGGTATTCTAGTCTTCCTTATTGCTGTGCTGGGGGGTGGGGGGGTGGGAAATGCAGGGCGTGGCTATGCAGTGTATATTCTATGCCACGCTTTGCAGATACACTGCATAGCCACACCCATCACTAGGTCTTATTATTGGGGTAGGGCTTATATTTAACAAATGCAACAATTATAGAAATCCTGCTAGGGCTTATTTTTTTTGGTAGGTCTTATTTTAGGGGAAACACGGTAGAAGTTGGCTGGGGTCAAGAGCCTTCCAGCTTCCCTCCGTGCCACCCCCACCCCCTGCGGGGGGCTGTGTAGTCCCCAGAGCAGTTATATAAAGATGGTTCTAAAGAGACTAAGGACTATAGGCAGGCCAACCCAGAGGCAACAGAGGACAGCCATGGGCTTTTCAACTAATTACCAATGTACATACAGATAGTCATTCAGGCAAAGGTCATAGAAAGTTAAACTGTGGTCATACAAAGTTACTGAAACGAGGCCATCTCCTTGTGTCAGCCAGCCCTGAACCTTCGAAGAGAGTCAGATGCACTGCAAGTGAGAGCAGATATGGAAAGAGCCACTGGCTACCCCTGCTCACCAGTTTGGCAGCAAGGTGCTGGCATTTACCTGCTTTGACTTGTCATCATGTAGCATACTTCTAGCTTCTCCCTTCATCTGGAATGAAAAAGCACAGATGAGTCTGGGTGTTTTAATGTGCAGCTAAGTTAGTAGGGAATAGAGAAAGTCAATGTCAATGACTGGCAGTGATTTTTTTTTTTAAACCAATAGGTTTGTTCTTGTTCTTGAAACCAGATAATCTGATTTTAAAAATTATATGGAGGAAATAAATAAGCAAGAATAGCAAAAAAAAAAAAAAAAAAGCCAGAAAGAAGGAAGAGTAGTAGAGGAGAGTGGATGGGAAATACTAGGTCTACCAACTGTAAAAACATGTTATAATGCTATATAAAAACTTATTCTCTCTTCATTTCTCTCTGTTATTAAAGAGCTGTTGCAGTTAGAGAAAAGAATTAACTTATTTACCCAACTTAAAAAGTAGTTCTAATAAGTTGGTTGATAGAAAATAAGGACCAAAACTTTTTTGAGAGAGAGTCTCACTCTGTTGACCACGCGGGAGTGCAATGGTGTCATCACAGCTCACTGTAACCTCAAACTCCAGGGCTCAAGTGATCCTCCTCCTTCAGCCTGCTGAGTAGCTGGGACTACAGGCGTGCCTCATCACACTTGGCTAATATTCTCTCTCTTTTTTTTTTTTTTAGTAGAGATGGGATCTCATTCCTGCTCATGATGGTCTCAAACTCCTGAGCTCAAGGGACCCTCCTGCCTTAACTTCCCAGAGTCCTTAGATTATAGGTGTGAGCCCCCATACCTGGTGCCATGATCAAGACTTTTCGGAAAGCAATCAACAATTCTTTTTTTAAGACAGAGTCTCAGTATGTCACCCTCGGTAGAGTGCCATGGTGTTACAGTAACCTCGAACTCTTGGGCTCAAGCAATTTTCTTGCCTTAGGCTCCCGAGTAGCTGGGACTACAGGTGCCCACCACAACGCCTGGCTATTTTTTTGTTGCAGTTGTTTAGCTGACCCGGGCCAGGTTTGAACTCGCCATACTTGGTGTATGTGGCTGGCACCACAACCACTGTGCTATGGGCGGTGAGCCACAGTCAACAATTCTATGGAAAAGTAAATGGATATGAATGCCATGCATTAACCTCTTTTTCAAAATGCAGCCTAACAAGAATTGGCTAGGAGAATCATTAGAAATGTTTGACAACTTCATTTTATTATTTTTTTTTTCTTGCAGTTTTTGGCCAGGGCTGGGTTTGAACCCACCACCTTCCAGCATATATGGAGGGACTGGTGCTGTCCAACAACTTCATTTTAAAGTATAAAAAGATAAATCTTTCTGGAGTCTTTTTTTTGAGACAGAGTCTTAAGTTGTTGCCCTGGGTAGAGTGCTATAGCATCATAGCTCACAGCAACCTCCAACTTCTGAGTGCAAATGATCCTCTTGCCTCAGTTTTTCTATTTTTAGCAGAGATGGGATCCTGTGACTTCAAGCAATCCACCCACCTCCACGTCCCAGGGTGCTAGGATTATAAGCGTGAGCCACCATGTCTGGCCTATCTGGAGTCTTTCTTTTTTTTTTTTTTTCTGAGACAGAGCCTCAAGCTGTCCCCCTGGGTATAATGCCATGGATCACAGCTCACAGCAACCTCCAACTCCTGGGCTCAAGTGAGTCTCCTGCCTCTGCCTCCCAAGTAGCTGGGACT